CACACCAGTTTTTGTAGAACGACCAAGATGTATAAAACCGTATTTGAGCGATTCCATCGCAATGAGGCTGCACCTTATCCTGATGCGATGGTTTGCATGCCTCAGCAATCCATTGAGCTATGCTGGTTGGTCCTTTTTGCACTTTCAAAGCCACCCATACCAAATTGCTCAATGGTTAGAGATCAGACAAACTCAGCCTCCAGGTTGGGTTGATATATATATATATATATATATATATATATATATATATATATATATATATATATATATATATATATATATATATATATGGTTTGCGGCAACCGTTTTCGGATTTGCCTGTCACTGTGGCAAGCCACAGGACGCCTGCGCCTACAGAGGGACCATGGATGGCTTGCGCTGCACCACCCACAGCTCCAACCACATACCCCATATCCAGTGTAAACCCGAAGGAATAAGACCGGGAGGCATGTGGATGGGAGCCACGTTTCCTCAACGGAGCCGGCCCACATTCCTTCACAGGCAAACACAAGCACGCTGTATTTGGAAATCAAGCGCACACAAGGCGGTGGCTGGACCGTAGTCCGCTCCACACTGAGTGCATGGAACCACTCTTCGAGCCTAACACGGCCACAAGAACCGTGCACCCCGTCCCCTCCAGCAACGACCAACTGTCTCCTGGAGCCAGTAGGAACGAGGTAGTGGGTAATAGACAGGTAGGCACCTTGTCAACATGCACATCAAGCGCAGCCACACCGGGGATATCAAGCAACAGCCATTCACTTTAAACGACAAGCTGAAATAAAACAAATCCAAGAATGCATACAGATACGGTGGCATAATACTTTGATAAATTAGCATATGAAGTAAGTTGGTTAGCAACAAATCCACGGTAAGTAGGAAATGTCCACAAGTTACTTAAAATGCTACAAACACAACAAAATTATCGAAGGTAAGCGAAATTAGCGTAAGCAACGTGGCCAGTTAATAGAACATTATTCATGTAGGCAGAACAAACCAAATGAAGTGGAATGAAATTTATCCAGTTTAAAAAGACCTAGTTTAAGTGTAAGTTGGTTTAGCCCAACTGCGGTGAAGAAGCATCAAGAATGCAACATCAGCCTCAGCATGGGACACAACCATATATGGTTGGCGGCATCCGGTTTCGGATTTGCCTGTCACTGTGGCAAGCCACAGGACGCCTGCGCCTACAGAGGGACCATGGATGGCTTGCGCTGCACCACCCACAGCTCCAACCACATACCCCATATCCAGTGTACACCCGAAGGAATAAGACCGGGAGGCATGCGGATGGGAACCACGTTTCATCAACGGAGCCGGCCCACACTCCTTCACAGGCAAACACAAGCACGCTGTATTTGGGGAATCAACCGCACACAAGGCGGTGGCTGGACCGTAGTCCGCTCCACACTGAGTGCATGGAACCGCTCTTCGAGCCTAGCACGGCCACAAGAACCGTGCACCCCGTCCCCTCCAGCAACGACCAACTGTCTCCTGGAGCCAGTATGAACGATGTAGTGGGTAATAGACAGGTAGGCACCTTGTCAACCTACACATCAAGCGCAACCATACCAGGGATATCAAGCAACAGCCATTCACTTTAAACGACAAGCTGAAATAAAATAAATCCAATAATGCATACAGATACGGTGGCATAACTCTTCGCTAAATTACCATATGGAGTAAGTTGGTTAGCAACAAATCCGTGATAAGTAAGAAATGTCCACAAGTTACTTAAAATGCTACAAACGCAACAAAATTACCGAAGATAAGCGCAATTAGTGTAAGCAACGTGGCCAGTTAATAGAAGATTAGTTAGGTAGGCAGAACAAACCAAATAAAGCGGAATGAAATTTAGCCAGCTTAAAAAGACCTAGTTTAAGTGTAAGTTGGTTTAGCCCAACTGCGGTGAAGAAGCATCAAGAATGCAACATCAGCCTCAGCATGGGGCACATACAACCACACACAACCATATATACATACATATTTATACACATCTATACATGTATATATATATATATTTATATACCTATATATATACATATGCTTATATATATATTTATATATTTCGCTTCACACCGCGCTCCCCATGCATACACACTTACACTCCATACACGTATACATATATATATATATATATATATACACTCCTGTCTAGGAATAGACAGTCGGGCAGTATCATGCCCACGCAATACTATGAATCTTATCTCAAACAATTTCCTGAGGCTCTGGCCGCTGCAGAGGTTAATCAACGGCGCCTTATCTGCTGCATCGAGCAGGGTGGATAGAGGTTTGGATGTTAGTGCTCAAACTTTCCCTTCTTCTCTTATGCTCTTTCACCCTTATCGTCCCCTTCCAACTTCACTTTTACACCTCACTCCGTTTTAAACCCACTGGTTCTTGACCCTCCCCTACTTTGCTTTGATAGGCGTTCATCACATAGTTTCAACTCACATGTAAACGCGGAGCGTCACTCTTGCCCTGTTGACAAGTCCATGCGTAACCAAACGGTCAAGCCCGGTTCATTGACTTCAATTTGGAGACCCCGATCCTCCCTCACACTGGTATGCTTCAACGTACGCCCAATGTTACAGATCAGTTGACAATTATTATCCGTTATTCCACGCTTCGATGCTTGGGACACTTGTTGCGCATACCAGCCCGCTGACTCCCGCGACGTGCGTTGATTGTGCGACCGGAGTGTGGATGAAAGAAGAGAAAGAAAGGCCAGCCGACGACATAATCAAGAGGAATGAAGGCCCTTACTTCGAAGTTGGCCTCGATTGGAGCGTCTCTGCTCCTTGGTTGGGGTCCGAAGAACGATGAACACGTTTCGCTGGATACACTTGTTGACATGGCGAAGAGCCAGCTTCAATGGCGTTTGTGTTATGAGTCTCTTTGTTCTTCCCCCTCCCGTTTAACCTCTTCCTCCAACCACTAACTTATTTATTACGCATAATATACTGTTTTTTGGTGGCACAAAAGCCGGCTGTTAGCTCTCCGGAACAATGTCCATCTGCCGGCATCTCTGTTGCATGTCTTTTTTTCTTTTGTATGGCGGCACAGGAGCTGAGGTGTTTTCCACCTGCAGCTAAGGTGTATAATGATGATGATGATGATGATTTGGACGATACAGACAGACGGTATTTTGCTCGGCGAGTTCACTGTTGTTCTGGGTTTGTCGTTGTCTTCCTCTTCTTTTGAAAACTTTCACTCACCATCCTATGAGACATGTTATGTCTCGGCTTGTTTATCCGCAATATACCATTAACTCCCTCTTAGCATGTGTTCTCCGATACAACTTGAACCTTCCATACAAGCCACGAAAGCGCATTTGTTAAGCACTTTTATCCCTCAATGCATGAATTGTATTTTTTCCCTCATTTTACTTTGGTGGTAACATCGACTCGAAAGAAATATAAGTTGATGTGGTGAATTTATTCAACTCCAGGGGCAATTTCGGGAACTGAAGGTGGTTGTCCAGAGCACATTTCGTTGGAAGATTAGCCACATTGAACAATGATTTTATTTCGACTTCTTGACCGTAATGCGTCGGGGGTCAGCTGAAGAAAACCGCTCATCCCCCCCCCCTCTTGAGTGTGCATGCAATCTCTTGATTTATTTATCGTACAGCTTTTATATTTATCAAAGTGAATTATGTTGCTTGTTTCTCGACGACGCTGGTGCATAGCGAGCTTAGAAAAACGCGAGTACGAATTCCATGTACGTGTGTGTGTGTGTGTGCTACAAGGTTGTTTATTTTCCATACTGGTTTTTCAGTCTGTGGATGCAACCGTATTTTTCACTAACACACTAGATGTACGGTTCCGGTTAAAAACGGAACGAACATAACTGTGGGCCAAAGTGTGATATGCAGACATCTTTTTAGTGCAAGTACCTGTGCTCACACACACTTTCTCTAATAATTTCTTGATACCTGGACGTCGGAAATACTTTTCCGAACTCATTATCCAGTGACTGCGATGTCCAAAACATATAAGTTGCACTTTGATCTTTCAAATGCCCATTAACATTGAGCTTGCCGTTTAATGCTACGCGGCATGTTCTGCTGTCTCTTGAGAGTTTGTTTCAGATCTTTAAGTAGCTAATTGGAACACATAGTTTTCTGGTTTTCGCAACATACTTCGAAGTCTTGAGTTTCTCTTTCAGGTGTTACGTATGGAGTAGCAAGCGTCCAAGGATATACGATCACTATGCAAATTGAGGAAAACTTTGCTGCCTCTACTTGTGAACATTGTGAAGTCTTGTTCTCTTAACTATGCTATTGATACAGTACAACACTTCATTACGATAAGCCCTCTTTCTATGCCACCGCGCCTCATCGTAATATTAAGGGAAGTAAATTATCACTACTATTGTGTTATAGGACTTGTCAAATGCCCTACAGTTGCAAGATGAAATAGGAAGCTAGATTCGCATCACATCTACGTACATTGGTGGACTACTTGATGTTTTGCTGTGCACAGCTCCGTGCTGTGTGGGCTTGTCACCTCACCTTAATCCACCAGCTTTCTCAATACATTCCATCGTCTTTGAGTGTCTCGTGTATGAGGAAGGCTTATTCATATAATAACTAGTCGGTCTGTCAGTTCAACTACTGCGTTCCTCGAGGTGTAACTGCGACGACCACTTTCTCACAACGGCTTGATCTCAGGTTCAGATATTCTTTTGATTGACGGAGGTACACAGGCAGTTAGTCGTGACGGAAACAAATTACCGTCAGACAATTCTCTGAGTGTGTCTTAGCTCTCTGATTGCATTTAATTCGGATGGACCACATTTAAACTAACGGAGCTCTCATGTTATTTTAAACAAATTTAGTACTTTTTCACACGTCTCATTTTCGAGATGTCGTTTCTTACACAGTAAGCCTTTAATATTTGGGCCACTCATACTAACTCAGAGGCATACTACTTGCTCAAAACCTACCCGACCTTCCTCGCTTTCTTTGATGACTCGTTTATATTTTATTACCTTAGGTGACTCATCAGTTGGCAAGACATGCCTATTAAACAGATATGCAAACAATGAATTCAATCCTCGTTTTGCGACAACTGTCGGTGTCGATTTCCAGCAAAAACGTGTCGTCCGTGAAAGCCGGAATGCCGAGGGCTTGTTGGGGCCGAAACAGCGACTACACCTACAGTTGTGGGACACTGCCGGCCAAGAACGGTAAGCGGTGGTATATCGTTTCCCCCTTTTCACCATATTCATTCATGTTATTCTTAGCCATCAATGGCGAACAGCATATTGCGTATAAAAATGCCGACATGATCCGCCTGACGGTCGGTTAGAACTTCCAAAATGATAAAGATAATCGACAATAATCTGTGGATAACTATTAACAGTGAACTTGCTGATCAAAGTTTTCTCCGGCTGCATCGTTCGCACCTGTCTTGATCCAATTATCAAAACTGTCGCTTCTGGTTTTCCCCAACAAAACGAGTGTAGGTTGACATGTTTTGTTTTCTCGATATTCTTGTGGGTCATATGATTTCTATGTTACTTGTTGCGGCCAGTGCGTTGTTCACATGATCATTGAGCACGGCTGATGTACAGCCAGAAGCAACGAATTCTGAGACGGAATTCTAAGTACTGTAAACATGTGCCGAAAGGAAATTCCTTCTTCCAATCTTGCTATCTAGCCAGTTTGTGGCAAGGTAAAAAGAAATTCAAGGGATGCGACTGCTCTTGCATCATCTCTTACAATGTTCATGTATTATGTAATGCACAAGCTTGCATTTTCATCAAGCTTAGCTTGTTGGTCACTTTACTAGGTTGCCCGATCACTTTCTGATTTGCTATGGTTCTCCAGTAACCTCATAGCCAGGCAACTGCACTATCTCCACTCCATTCTCAATAATCTTTCGGCCGGCCCGTTACCTGCCTGATAATCCGGAAGTTGCTAGTTCGGATCCATGAAAGTGCGGTTTATCCCGTGGTATGCCTATCCCACGCGCGGCTGGTGGTGCTTGCGTGACAGCATAGCTTAGGTACGGTGTGCCGGCCTACTGCTGATACATATGCTGTTCACATCAAGCCAATTAATGGAAAGTCGTCGAACAATTCCCGCCGGAATTGAAAACGACTCAGCGTAACACCACAAGTACTGAGATCAGACAGCTCCTCAGGAAGGATCGCGCGTTTTGGTGGATACAGCACGTCGTTGAGATGGAGCGGGCAGCCTCATCAGGAAACTTCTGTAAACTCTTCCAACTCATTAGCTCCACGGGAGGCAGAAGACCAGTAGTAAGTGAGGTTTTACGTGAAAATGACGGTGAACTAATTCAGTCGTCACCGTCGTCCGGTACGATGGGCAGAGCACTTTGAAGATCAGTTCAACTGACCAGCAGCGCATCCGAGTCTATCTTCAGGGGGTTCACAGTGCTCCCTGGTGCATGGATGTTTCTCCACCGACAGAGCCTGAGGTTTCCAATGAGCTTCGCCTGCTGAAGCGCCACAAGTCACCTGGCCCAGATGAACTTCCTCCTGCCCTCTTCCAATATGGTGTTTCTGCTCTCACTCGCGAACTGACATCTCTATTACATCAAATTTGAACTCCTGAAGCCATTCCATCCGACTGGCATTTAGTGGATGTTGTACCCGTCTACAAAATGGAGACTGGGCCATTTGCTCCAACTATCGTGGTATCAGTCTCATTCGTGTCGCATCCAAACTGTTCGCTGCCCTACTCTTGCGTAGTCTCAGTTGCGTACAGGAGCAGCATCTGCATGAACAACAAGCTGGATTTCGCCCGGGTCGCAGTTGCATCGGTCACCTTTTTACGATCCGCCAGATACTTGAACATCGCCATACGTTCAGTCGGCCAACCATAGTCATATTCTTGGACAATCGAGCCACTTTTGACTCTGTTGACAGAGTGGCTCTTTGGGACTGCTTACTGAAGGGAGGAGTACCTAAGAAGTACATCAGCATTCTCCCCGCCATTTGCCATCGAACTTCGGGCCGCGTTCTGGCATACGGAGATCTTTCGCCCCCTTTCATACCACTAGCGGTATTAGACAGGGTTGCCCAGCCTCTTCATTCTTGTTCAACTTCCCCATGGATGTTATCCTGGATACTGCCCTGGATAACTCTGAGTCCTGCAGTGTTGAACTGCTCTTTGGTGACCGCCTTCGGGGCTTAGAGTACGCCGATGACATAGCTGTGATTTGCGAGTCCTCCCAAGCCGCCTGGCATGTGCTGCTCAAACTGGAGATGTCCGCCTCCCAATTTGGGTTGACCTTTTCCCCTTCCAAATGTAAAGTCCTATTACAGGACTGGCCAAGCGCATCTCTCACCTTTCGGGGCATCCGTTGGAAGTGGTCGGCAAATTCATTTATCTTGGGAGTTGTCTTATTATTGGAGGTTTTACAGTTGGGACCTCCCTGCGTGTCTCCGGGGCTAGAGTCGCTTTCGCTAACCTACTTCACCTGTGGCTTTGTCGTGACCTCAGCCTCACTCTCAAGGGACGAGTCTATAATGCTACTGTGCGAGCGATTCTGTTGTACGGCTGTGAGACGGCCCGTTCGCAAAAGCGATGTTCAACGGCTGTCTGTCTTCGATCACCGCTGCCTGCGAAGCATTGCTGGTGTTAGATGGCAGCATCATATCAGTAATGAGGAAGTCCGTCAGCGAGTCTTCAGATCTAAAAAAAACTCTGCCGACCGATTGATAGCATCATTTCACTGCGGAGGCTTCGCTGGCTTGGGCATGTGCTCCGCATGCCTACCCAGCGGGTACCACAACAAGCCCTATTTACGAGCACAGGCGTGGCTTGAGAGCGACGAAAAGAAGGGCAATGTAAAACTTGGATCTAATGCGTTAAAGCACAAACGTTGAAGCTGGATGTTATCATGCGTTCCCGGCTTCAGGGTTGAAAACCAAAGGAACCCGGGCACGACTGGTTGCAAACACTGGAAGATATGGCCAAGGACCATACACAATGGCGCACTTGCTGTGAGACTCTTCTACCCTAACAGTTGTTTTCCCTTTCACGCTAACGCGTCAGAAGCAATAGTCCACACCTACAATCCCGTTGTGATTTTTTTGTCTTATGCTACTCGATGGGGTGTAGCCTAAAGGTAATGAGTTTGTCTTGTAATCTGGCAGCGCTGATTCGAGCCTGCATAGGGCTGAGCGACCCTCGCAGTATCCGTAGCCCCCATGCGACCGGTGGTGGTGGCGCGGCAGTGGCGCACCGGTACTCAGTACCGACGTGCTGCTGATTCCTTCGCTTCTTCTTGTTTTTATTAGTTCCCAATTTAATATATGCTTATCGGCGTTGCACTGGAACATACTTGGATAAATGGGCAGTGAACTCTAGCTCGAAGAGATGAAGAATACTTCTCGTCCGCTAAAAATTGCAGGCTCCTTGTCATTTTGTTCCTTTAGTCGCCTCATTGTTCCGGTTTCGTTATGTTCTAACCTACTTGCGACAAATAAAACCAGAATTGTTTATCTGAGTACATGCTTGCTCTATTCATACGTCATCTTTTTTTCCGTATTACGCACTTCTTTTGGCGGATTTAGGCTAAAGGAAATATATTTCCACGGTTTAGCAAACTCTGCATGGTACCCGATGGTGGTCCATATCATCAACTTTTGCAATCGCCAAAAGCCCAGAAATGGATGGCTATCCCAAACTTGACGCACGCTCCTTCTTTTTCGTAGGACGAATTTTCCGTTCCAAAACATCTCCATGTGAGCTACGTGTGTGCCGAATGACTTGTCGTGAGAGACCTACCGCATCATTTAATCAAGACTTTACTTGTCGAAAAAGCAATCCGCTAAGGGATCTACGTGGGACCAACTTGACTTACTGATGCGCACGTCCTAACTCACCGCTATGCCGTAACGCTCCATGACTGCTTATAGATGAATCTAGTCAGTTGCAGCAGCACAGTCTATCCAGAGTGGTGGACAGATTTGAGATTATAAGTTGACGCTTACGTACTATTTAAGTGACGCTGAGGGATCATCCCTACAGGACCGGCAACATGGTCGTTTTGTATACGAATAGACCGTCGTAAATGTTCGTCGAGCGTGTGGCCCATAAAACCTTCGGCATACCAGTAAGTCGTGGGAGACACCCGGAGTAGGTGATCCTTCATAGCCTCATGCGTTTATACTTACGATCCCCAGCGAACGGACAGTAACTGCACACACAGTGTGTTAGGTCAGTTTCTTAGCTAAGATCTGTTCAACAAAATACCTTGAAGTAATCGCTTTGCATCACGTCTAAAAACTAATTATATAACAGATGAATAGGAAATATCATCACTAGACTGTGGTTAACGACACATAATAAGGAAACAACATTAAGGCGCAGTTTCTCCACATATTCCGAAGAAACCGTCCCTCGTCTATTCACCTCGCTCATTAGACCAATCCTTGAATACGGTGCCCCAGCTTATCATCCGATAACCCAATGGGAAACTGAAAAGCTGGAGAAAATGCAGCATATCGCAACTAGAATGATACCTAGTCTACAAAAGCTTCCGTATGAAAAACGTTGTGAAAAGCTCGGACTGTACACACTATCCTATCGCCGAGTAAGAATTGACCTTATTATGACCCATCGAGTACTACACTTAAATCACTTCCCCATACTGCGGCCAATATTTCACCTGTGGGAACCCTGTAACACCCGAGGACACCGTTACAAACTCAGGGTCCCCAGCATGAACAAAGTATCACATCAGATTTGTATCGAACGAAGAATCGTAAACCTATGGAATACACTACCCGAAGGATTATTAGAGGCCGATTCTGTGAAGTGTTTTAAGACGCGTGTCGACGATTATTTCGGAAAACTGTGCTTTTGTGAAACGATGCACATACAATGCCAAAAGAAGACATTGTATGCCTGGAAATAATGATACCAACACAAATTCCTAACCGAACACGGATAAACGATTAACGGACCAGACACAACTAAATGCTTTTGATTTTTCGTAATTCGATAGAGTTGTACAGAAACCTTTCTACTTGCTCTTAAATACAGTCTCAGTCTCAACACCAGGACCTCAATGATTTCGCAATTGTGCCTTGTCCGGTAAAGTATTTCACGGATGATGTGGGCCATGAGGTCCCCATCCAGGTAAATGACAAACGGAGACCGGACCCAGTCCTTTCAGTGCGTTTCTTCATACTCTTTCCCACATCGTTAACTGGTCACCTAGGACTTCCATCCAACCATTCACAGGAACACATGCGAAACACAAGACCGAGCCAGCGAACTCAACACGAAGTTCCGCAATTATTCCGATGGGTCACCACAGCGTCTACTAGCAAGCACCATCATCAGTATACACGTTCGCTGCGTGTGGAACACACCTTAACTATTGTGCCACAATACCAAAGAAACAAAGAAAAAAATGTGAAACAGTGGCACGCTGGCTGAGTCCCCAGTAACGGATATACATCTTTCCGGAGGGCTACCAGCCGGCTATTTCGCTGAAAATAGCGTCCTATTATGCCTACTAAATAAGGTAGTGGTTGGAGGGGAGGCTAAACGGGAGGCGGATGGGCAAAGAAACTCACAAAACAAACGCCATTGAAGCTGGCTGTTCTCCATGTCAACAAGTGTATCCAGCGAAACGTGTTCATCTTATTTCGGACCCCAATCATGGAGCCGAAATGCTCCAACCGAAGCCAACTTCTAAGTAATAGCCTTCATTCCTCTTGGCCAAATCATCGCTTGGCCACCTCTCCTCTTCTTCCATCCACACCCCCGGTGCGCAGACAACCCACGTCGCGAGAGTCGGTGGGCTGAGATACGCAACACGTGACCCAGCCATCGGAGCCTGGTGCGTGAAATAACGGTGCTGAGCGATTCGCTTCTTCTTTCTGTGCCATAAACAAGGCATCAAACATGGTCATTGTTCACACGGTGTTCCCACCACATATAAGCCAAACTGCGAAAGCACCGGTGGTCGAACGTAACTATCTTCTGTATGTCGGTTCATCTACTGGGCCAGGTTTCACAACCGTGCAGTAGGGTCGAACATACGGCTGCGTTGTACACTCTACCCTTCAGAGCGAGATTGATGTCGCGCGGGCGCCTTAAGTGGCGAAGATTTGCCAAAACGCCTCGTGCTTTTGCTATACGGTTCGTGGCCTCATCTTCAATTCCAACGGCGCTAACAAATACCAACGTCATTCGTTCAATCTTGCAGTCGTAAATAGACAGCACTGCGCAGGGACAGTGATGCTCGAACATGGTCAGTGTGGTAGCGCCTACCGCAACTTCCAGCCATGTTTGTCACACATCGCAGCCTGCAAATGATTGGATGAGCGCCATTGATGGATCAATGTCAAGGTCGTTACACTTGTTCCTTACCTGACTCACTTGTGTGTTCAGAGCGTGTCCGCCCCGTGTACTGTTTCCGTTAGTGGGCTTCGTCCGTAATGATTCAAGACCCTGCTTGCGCAGGGGGGCCTAGTGTGCGTATTAGGACACAACAGTCAATCTCCTAATTTCCTCAGCGCACTGTGACTACGGCATAGCGAAGTAGTATGTATCACTGCCTATACAAGTTGGAAACAAACTCTTATTCTGCATTCCTGGCGTTCATATTCTTCTATCATAATCCCCCTTCTGACGGACACGGCAGCGTATGTACGGTTGTTCTCTTCCTCATAAAAATGCAGTTCAACGCTTACGACTGAAAAACCTTGGGGGAGTTATTTGCCGTGACAGGCGAAGCACTAATCATAGAGTAGATATTAGTGAATATTCATCCGTTCTCCCCATCTAGAAAAGCATTTTATCGTCTTGCTAGGTTACCTACTGCCCGTTTCTCTGCAACGTCACTTACAGTGAACACTTTTGTTGCTGAATCATTCTTCACCATCATCGTTGCGTCCAAGTGGCATTTAGTTCGTCTGTCTTTAAGTAGCCCTGTTCACAACCACTTTAAAACAGACGGCCACGGAGCCTGTTTGCTTGTTGCAGAATCAGCTTATGCTCTGTCTACTTTGTGTTCTCAAATCGAGATGTAATGTATCTCTTCACTCACTTATATGTGTAAGGAAGACGACATGATTCACTTCCTCCGTTTATGCTGCTATTGGCCAACGCATGTCTCCCAGTTTTATTGCGTTTTTGAGCAGCCAGTCCACTGTTCGCTTACCTTACAGTTGTCTGGAAAACAATACCTTCCCCGACATCTATTACTACCTTGGTTATGCGCATGTTTGTCTGTCCTAACTCTGACAAACACTGCAATGCACGCTCAGCCGTCTTCATTTTTCTCAGAAATTCACCCCCTGTCCTTGCTCTTGCTTCGATTAATGCGTTAAGTGACTGTATGCATGTATGCGGGGATATTCGACAACAACAATGCTTAAGGTCACGAGCAGTGGTTATAGCGTGCTGGGTGTCGGTGTGTCATGCATTCGCATATGCTGGTTGTCCTTGTTTTTGGGAGCAAATAAGCCGGACTGTGGCAGATCAATGGGCCTTCTCGCCCGCATATTTGTTCAACTGAGCGATAAGACACCGATCGCTAAGTCAAAAGTGAGCCAACTGTATACAAGCGACAATGCCACACCCAACAATGAGTGACATCCATCCGGTGTTTTTTGAAATTGCAAGGCGGTAGTTGGAGATTTGAATGGTATAAGAAGAAATTCGTCACATCTAGACTCAGTTAAATAATTATCACACGCCCGGCAAAGCATTGGACAAGTGTTTCATCGTTTCGTGAATCGTCAGGTGTGCGCATTCCAACTGACCCCTTCGGGACTTGAACCCTCAACTCAATTGTCAGTGATTACGGCCATTGAGTTACAGCGTACCGTGAGAACCGACGTGGCTGCGGGATATAACGGCGTTCGCTGTGGAATTTGCATTTTTGACGATTCCCGGTGAGATGAAACGTCCGGGCGTGAGATATCTGTCTCGCAGAGTCACGTTGTGTGCTGAGTTTCTACTGATTCTCATATTATCATTTTGTCAGAGCATCACACAGAGAGGTTCTTGTACGACCACGAGGGTTGTTACTTTGTAGCTGACGAATCATCCGTTATGTGGCTTCCGGAGGCAGTGACGGGGAAACGCATCTTAGTGATCTCATGCCTATTAGTTTATGGTAATCTTTCACGATTTAAGCCACATACCCAAATTTTCACCTGTTGCCACTTGGTGCATCGGCACACAAGATTTCATGTAAGTAGTTATGCTTTATACGGCCATACATGCGAGGCTTTCGCTTGTCGCTATGTCGTCAGATATCAAGCCTAATGCGTTGACCCGCATTTTAGAATCCATCATATGGAGTCTACTAGTGCATATTTCCTCTCCTTTGGATCGATGACACGTTACTGTCCGCGTCTATTTTGCAAAGGACACCACTTGGGGTGAATGAGATGTGCGCCCGTCATGTTTTTGATTGCAAGCACATTCGCCACGTGACTGTAAGCACTCGCATTTTAAATCCATTTTGCCAACCAATGTCAAATACCGTTTCATTTGCACCGCATCTCAAACCACGAGCAGTCTTATTTAGACCAACCGTTTCATGACTGTCACAGAGTTCTATGTCCCTGTTATCAACTATTCCAGATATCGAAGCCTGTGCACCGTTCTGCTGCGTGACGCAATGGGTTTTTTGCTCGTCTTTGACTTGACAAATGAACAGAGTTTGTACAATTGCCGTGAATGGATGCAGCTGTTGTGCAATCATGCGTATTGCGAGCGACCTGACGTTGTTCTTGTTGGCAATAAGGCTGATCTCACGACCGAACGCCAAGTTCCCTTGTCGACAGCCACCGCTATGGCTCGCGAATTGGAGTGAGTTCTCCACAGTTTAATACTACCTCTTTTTTCAATCAGACGGCTACTTTGACCTGAAGAGGGAGTTTGCACGTCTGTCGTCTCCTGCGTCACTGCATCTGCTTTACCAGATTGCTGTGCGTATTTTGTCGCGTGCTCATTACTCCGGCTGCTCCGGGGTCGTCTTTCTTGCTGTTGTTTCATGGGAGTGGTGGCTTTTCTTTACAGATAATGCATTTACATTTTATTTGTTATCCCGCCCCTTTTATGCAATTTTGAATTGTTTGCGAGTGGGAATGCGCATCTTAATGGTTGTAGCAAAATAAGTTGATTCATCACGCTGTGTTCTATCCACCTTTTGCTTTTCCGTTTTGATTAAATGAAATTGGACGTGATTTCGCTCGTGCTAATACACATTGCTTAGATAGAAAAAGGGAAGCACACCTTTGCCCCAGATGGTGGTAGTTCTGGTTTTGACATTTGGAATTTCTGCCGGTGTTGGTAGTAGGGCAGGCAGTTCCACTAAAATGATGAAATGCGCTAGATTTTATCGGAAACATCCATTACAGGTTCAACTTTTTGTATTTCTCAGTCTGCCGCTTTACGTTTCAACAACTGCTGCTTCGCTCTACAGCTTGCTGATTGATCTATGTTAAAAGAAATGGGCCATTGCGATCAGGCTACTGCGACCTGAATTGTTCTATTAAATGACCCTATTGCAGGCGCTTCCTTTGCAGTGGCCGTAATTCCACGATTTCAGATGATGTCACCCCACATCGGACGGAGGAGCCGTCGTGTTTTGTGCGCATGTGTGGGTATGTGATGAAGTGAGGTTTTCCTTCCTTGTTTCATTGCGATACTGTCCCCAAGGTGGTGGGTCAGGTCACAGTATACTGTCATTGTTGTCACTTTTGATGTATCACGTAAGGAGCGAAAACGAATTGCTGGATAGAGTTTGTTACCGTCTGGCCTTTCCATCCAAATCCCGGTGGATGTATGTTCTAGCGTCTACGTCATGATTAGTGACATTTTGGGGTGAGGCTTAGATACGAGTGATACGAGTCATGAGATGTAAAAGGCATGCTAAGTACGAGAATACGCCGAGCAGTGAGAGCGGCTAGACCCAACGTGCATTGCAATGTGCTAAAGAGAATGAAGACCAGGTAAGCGAGGGCAGGGCACAACATAGCGCACGATTCACCGTGGAGGCGCAAATGATCAGAACTTATAATCAGTCAAACCAATGCAAAACCTTTATCGTTAAATGCCGAAGGAGTGAGTGTTTCCGGTTCATTACAAAACATGTGTATCAGATCGATATGACATTCTCAAATGATGCTATCTGCTTGACGATCATGTTCGATTCAAAGCGGCGTTCACATTTTGGTATTTGTGCTGCACGACGCTTTATATTTTCCCATTGCATATTCAGTTCTACCGGAGCTAGTGGAGGAGAAAGCAAGGGAGATTTTAATGGTTTTAGCTCATGAAAATAGATATATAGAATAAACCTAAAAAATTGTTGCGCAGTCGCGTATTGATCAGTTTTAATTTGCTATGAGCTCTTGTTCGAAACCCAGTTAATCTTCAAGCGTAAGTCTTGTATCTTCCGGATCGTCTTACGGGTTCTTTGAAGAATGGTGATTAACGCTCAAAAGAGATAGTCTGCGAACTACGAGGCTCGTTATCGATCGGAAGCAGCTAATACCGAGATGGTTCCGCACCACCCTAATTCCGTGCACCTTGTATTGTTTTACTTTGCTTTCTTTGAATATTCAAAGTGGCCATTAGTTCAATGTCAGCTTTTTCACCGAAACTGCTTGTTACGACAGCATTTTAGAGTGTCATCCCTTTTATTCTTCTGCCTCTACTCCAACTCGAACTACAGTGTTCCCTACGTCGAGACCAGCGCAGCAACCGGATATCAAGTGTCCACTGCGGTAGACAAGTTACTCGACGCGGTCCTACTACGAATTGAGGCGTCTATCACTCGTCCACGAGTGTTTGGCCCCCAGCCCACTAAAACTGATCTGAAGAGGACGTCTGAGAAGTCAAAATGCTCTTGCTAGATGTCGCCTCGCTTGGTTTCACCATTCGGCTTTTCTTCGTCTTCGCTTCTCGGTGCTTTGTGGTATGCAACCTGTGCGTGCTCCTCTATCTCCGTTATGTGAAACTATGCTCCACCAGCGATATTTCCTGTTTTCTATGACCAAAGCCCAAGGGCTTATTAGGCTGTGATATTCCACTTAACTTTTGATACTAGTGTTCTCTCGCTATAGGCTGTTTTATGTTGGACTGGTTCTTGGGAAGAGCGCTTCATGGAAACTTCTGTCTCTTATGCACTTGTATTTTTGATCTGCCCCCTCCCCCGCATCCATTTATGCTTGACCAATACTATTCAACGTGTTTTCCACGTGATGTATTTTGACGGAAGAAATGAATGCCTATCTTGCTACCCTTCTTTCGCTGACACTGAAACGGTCACCCTGTGGTATGGATTGCGGATTGTCACTCGCTTGCCGGGCTCCTGGCAGTCGTCAGAGGATGTATTGGCCCATACTTGTTAGATCGGTACCACTTTGAGCCGCAGTTTGTGCGGCTCTTAAGCAAAGGTTGAACGATGTCGGTTTGTTTCATCCGTGGACACTGCGAACAAACTTGGCGGATAGACTTTTATTACTAAATTTTCTACGGTCTTGTCGCGTATGCGCTACTCTCGCTCTCCATTACCTTTACTTCAGGAACGTGGCTGTTACGCCCACCATTGAATTGTTCACTCCAATCGGTCAGGTTACTTGTGCCGCAGCATGTGTGTGCGCCTATCTCAATTGATTCACGCACGATATTCAGACATTGACTATCGATCAGTGCCGACATCGCTCATCCGTTTTTGATTCGCTCAGCGCTGACAGCACATAAAGCATGTTTACATGTTGCTTACTGACTTCATAGTCGGCCTAATTACCCTCCGTTCTTCTACGGCTACAGTGCTTTTTCCTAATGGTTTGGATTTCTGGCTATAAGAGAGAGAGCATCACCAGCATGCCGTACCGACGCTTTGTTGCCACGTGACCGCCAATAGTCGCGCGTTGGCTAGTGATAATGCCAGATCGCCAACGCCCGGCTAGTGACCTCTGGATTACAAGCGAGACGTCTGAACCGATCGACTGCAGGCCTACTTAGCCCCATGTTCTTGACGCGCGTGGGGTAACTAATGGCGCTTGGATCCTTACCAAATCATCTTCACATAGCCCTAAGTAATAGCAGTAGTAATCTCGAGAGTCTAGTAAACAGAGCCTACCAAAAACTGTTTAGATTAGCAGATAAGAGGTGGAGGTGCCGCGTCGTAATCATCGTAGCATAGCAATTGAAGGTGAACAACGCACTTCAGCTACTGTGCCGCAGGAAGTAAGGAACATTTTGACAAAAAGTAGAACAAAACATTTTTTGTTTGTTTTTCGCACACCGATTTTTCTCTTTTTTGTCATTTTCAATGTTTTAAGTCTTAAACGTGAATCAGTACAATTGTGTATACAATTCTTCCACTGGTTCCGGTTGCGGACCATATCTTCAAGCGTGTTAACGATTGGCATTCCTAATCCTTGGGTCCGCATGCTGGAAGATGTACGGGTCCAGCGGCGGCTAGACGCAACATCAACGATTTCATGTGCTGACCACCACGCGGTCGTTTCCAGCCAGGTCCTTGACGAGCGAATAGAACGCGACGCGGTAGACGCTCAGGTGAAATGTGTAGGACGTGACCAAGCCATCTCAACTGGCGTCGCAAAACCAGTTTGTTGAAGGGAATACTCGCATTCCCCATGATGCGACGTCGAACTTCATCACTGTGAACTCGATGTTGCAACCGAACACGGGCGATCCTCCTTAAGCTACCGTTGTCGAAGGCAGAGAGACGACGCATGTCTTCCAGGCGAATTGGCCAGGATTTGCTCCCATACAACAATACTGAACGAACAGATGCGCTGTAAACACTGCCCTTTAGCGAAAATGAGACATCGCGCCGACGCCACCAGTGCCTCTGATTGGCAAAGGCTGATCGGGCTTTAGCGATGCGAAGAGAAACTTCCTTGCTGATAGTGCCCTCAGCAGAAACAGCTCCCAAGGTAGACGAAACTATCTACCTGTTCAAGTTGTGCACCTTCAAGAGTGAGCACGGGAGCAGGTGTAGGCCAATCCTGGAGCAACACTTTACACTTCGATGGGGCGAAGCTCTTGCCATACTTAGGTGCTTCAACTGCCAAACGATCCAGTATGAGTTGCATACCCTGAGGATCGCCAGCAAGTAAGGCGATACCATCAGCATAATCTGTCGGTCGCGCGCTTACCTGGTACAAGCTCTAGGTCAAAATGTTGGAAACCTTCTAAAGCACTCGATAGAATGTCTTCGTTTGCCAAGTTGAAGAGGAATGGGGACATAGGGCAGCCCTATCGCACATAACTATTGATGACGAATGGCTAGGAAAGCTTGCCATATACCCTCACTCAGGTGGTGGTATGAAGGTAAAGTGCACATACGATGGCAATATACTTTTCTGGCACTCCATTCTTTAGCAAACAACGCCATAAAGCAGGTCGATCAATAGAGTCACATGTATCACGTAAGTCTAGGAATGTAACGATAATGGGCCTGTGATAAATGTGGCGATGTTCGAGAAGTTAGCGGAGCGTGAAGATTTGATCTGCGGCCGGGACGGAAACCAGCTTGATCTTTACGGTTGTATGCTTCACGTATTGGGGATAGTCTGCGAAGCAGAATGGATGCCAATAGCTTAGAGGTAACCGAGATGAGACTAATCCCGCAATGATTTCCATATGAATTGTGAGCGCCCTTCTTGAAAATCAGGACAGTAACTGATTCGCCCCAAGAGGAAGGCACTTTCTCTTTATGCCAGATTTTTTTTGCGAACAACGGGGTTAGGTGGTTAATGATCGCCACACCGCTGCATCTGAACATCTGAGGAACTCCGTCTTAGCCGGGATCCTTGGACCGCTTCAAGCGTCGAATCTAGAGGCAGATTTCCGCTTTGCTTGGTAGGTTCAGTGGGCCGAGCCGTGGTAGACAACAAGATGTACTGATGGACGATGGAGACCAGGTGAACTGCAAGTAAAAGTGCCCCCCCCCCAGTGGTCCAAATGCCTCTGTTGGTTGGTGATCGGAGACTCATCCGCCTCGCAAATAATCTCACTGACACTAGGTTTCCTGAGGCCAGTGTACAGAATGAGTTGGAAAAGTTTGCGAGTGTGGCCAGAGAGGAAAGCGGTCTCTATCTCTAAAGCACGCTCATACCACCATGTCTCGCGATCTTTGCGTAGGCTTTGCTTGAGTAGCCGGTTGGCAGAGCGGCGCCGCTCGTTGCAATATGATTCCGCCGGAATGTATTTACGGCGCTCGAACGGCTCCAGAGAACGAGCAGAGATCCAAGCCTTTAGGGGGCGTCCAGTTAAACCGCAGCTTGACTGTCCGGAAATGGTCATCGCTTTCCGTACACAAATCCAGTGTTGCTCCACGTCTTGTGGTGTATTGCAACTGAGTGCATATGCCAGGGAAGACAGCTTGCCTAAACAAAGGAATCAGTTAATATGTTTACGTCAATGTTGCGGTGCTTCGTGTCTCGGGGTCCTCCAAAACACAGATTTTCGCGCAGACCAGTGCATGATCTGAGTCAACGAAGGTGGACCAAAGGGATTTGCAGTCCAGTACACTGCCACGCCATCTCAAGCTTATTGCAATGTGACCACGATGAGGTTGGCGAAGGGGGACGCCACGTTGCGGAACGCTTCTTCGTACGTCTGCAGTTTTTGTTCGAGAGAAACAGATGGTTGTCTTCGCACAATGTGAGGAGCCTCTCTTCATTATCAGACCGGTCCTCGTCGAGCGCGTGATAACCACCAAGGTGGCCTTCATATGGTAACAGGCGGCCAACCCGTGCATTGAAATCCCTAGCAAGGACGACAACATCCGACATTTTAGCATAGTCAAGAGCTTATGTAGCTCCCGATAGAACTCGTGCTTGACCGAGCCACTACTGCAATCATTTGGCGCGTACGCGGAGATCGCAAACAATTTGCGCCTCACTTAGAGGTCCTTGTTGATTCTACATGAGCCCCGAAGCCGAACTGCATACAGTCGGCTGTTGATCGGGAACTAGTCCAGTTGTGCCTCCCCGGTCTTGCTACTTAGTGCTTACCTACACCAGACAAATCCGCTTAAGCCGCTTCTGGATCCCCAGAAAGAGACCGGTGGTATCCGGCTTCCTGATCAGTGAGAGATGTCAGTTTAACTACAGTACTGAGGTCTTGCATTCAGGTTTCTGTAAGCCAGTAGACGTCGGTATCGACAGACCCGTGGGTACGCACTAGACCGGCTTGCTGTCTAATTTGCATGAGTGTCCGAACGTTGAAGCACGCCAGATGGAACGAGGATTGGGGTCGAAGGAGAGCCATAGGTTGAAGTCCATGGTTCGCGGTGCAACCGGAATCGTAGCCAGATTGCTGAACACTTGAATCGGGTAACGGAAAGTAAGGGTTGTAAACAAACAAACAATTGGCGTGTGATGAAATCGCGTGAATCTAGGAATCAGAAACGGTAGCGGATGAGCACGTTGTAGAACAGTCCATGGTTTCTTGAGAGGGCCTGATACTAACCGGTGGCCCAAGCCGAAGTAGGGACTTGACTTAGGATATTCCACCTCGAGCCTCTGACTAAATAACTTACCCCCAAGGCAACGGGGCGAATTAAGAGAATCACGCTCATTGGGAGTCCATGACTGAATGTTAAATTCATAAGTCTTGTTTAGTAGATTACTAAACTGGGGCCCAATACTCCCCATGAAATTAGCACAATTGGTGTGCCACAATGCCCCGCCGAGGTGGAACACTGTTGCCGAACACCACACTGGAACGGGCTACACCCAAATCACCCAGCTGGCATCACTAGGAGATAGTTGGGCAAGCCAGCCCATATCCCTAAGGCAGATATGTGTATACTATTGTCCATTACTGTTTTGTGGCAGTAAATAATGTCTTGTTTCGATTGTGCTTGAGTTGTTGCGTAAACAATGACTTGTGGACACGTGGCCAATCGGATTATGATTCCTGCATCTCAGCAGTGGTCATGATAAAAAAAATTGCGTTTGTTATCTACACTGCCCTTGTTTTATATAAGGCTGTACTTTTGATTATGTCGCAAAATTAAATTATTGCTCCGGCACCCAAGCCACATCACTTTATTACTCTAAGCAGAAGTTACCATCTGTAGTGTTCTACCTAGGCTGACTGTGGATTGAGCAACAGCGTGCGTTTGCAACAAATTGCGACTGAAACACTACAACGGCAGGCTTTGTGAATGAGCTTAACCGTCGTCTCTTACACTGTGGTACCCATCAGCTTCCGCCGAGGGCATTATGATCTCGCAATCATTGATTGTCAGCATT